ATAAAAAATTTTATACTAAAAAAAAAAAAAAAAAAAAAAAAAAATTATAAAAAAAAAAGTATATAAATAAATTATCTAATCATGTTTACGGGATAAATCGAAAGTTGGGATGGTGAAATATGAAGTTTCAGTAGTTAGGAGACCTGCGAGCGCGTTATACCACGCGATAAGAGCGGTAATGATTCCCAGAATACCACCAACTTTAGTTGCGATATTAACAGGTGCTGCAGCAGGGGTGAATTTACCGATAGTAAGAAGTAAGAAAGTGAGGGTCAAGAAAAAGAAGAGACACATTATTCCACCGGTTGCACGGAAAGTAGCCAAGAATAACAGGAAGGTGACTGAAAAGAAACCATATTAATTAGATTTCGAGGGAAATAATAGCCAGGAGAAAATAAATAAAAAAAAAAACTTACATATTGTCCAACCGAGAAGGTAAATTCCAATAGCATGTTCGAAATTAGCAGTGGGAACAGCATTGGCAACAGCAAGAGCAGTAGTATCATTAATACCAGAGCTGGCACTAGTTACAAAGCCAAAGCTATCGTGAACGCCAAAAGATGGGATGAGGATAGTAGCGAACGACAACCAGAAAGCGCCATATGAAGAGAAGGCAGTAGCACCGAAAGTGTTACCAGTCTTGAATTCCCACATACCAGCCAGAAGTTGGGCAAGACCTCCATAGAATAAGGCTAAACCGATAGTGATGTGTGGAACAGCAACATCGGAGGAACCTGCGTTATGGATTGAAAGCACGAATGTAGTCAAAGCAAAACCGCAAAGACCGAGAGGGCCTGGGTTTGCGATTTTTGGTGGAGGAGGATATTGATGGATATATTGTTTTCCGTCTTCGATGGACATTTTTATTAGACTAATGAAAAAAAAAAAAAAGTCAATAAAAAAAAACAAAAAAATAATAATAATAAAAGAACAGGAAGAAAATAAAAAAAATAAAAAATACTAACGTTAATTTAAAAAATTATTTTATTATTACTATTATTATTTTTGCAATTGCAAAATGGAAAAAAAAATGAGGATTTTATTATTAAAGAAATTAAAGAAATTAAATAACGTAACGATAATTAAAATGAATTGGCGACTTTCAGTACGTAGGGAAAGGCGATTAGGAATTACGGTCTAATTTATAAAAGATTTCAGAGTACACAATAGACGGAAAACCATATTCGGATTATGTACAAAAAAATGGGGGAGGGACCCAAAATTTTAGAACAATTTTTATTAATTTTATTTCGCTATATTGACATCAATCGGTATTACGAAAATTTCGCGCGACACCAAACGGTAAAGAGCTATTATTGGTTTTGCTATTTAATGTGGTTCAACCAAAATAAATAAAATTATGTATGTGGCGGTTCTGAACACATGAATATTCAGTTAAAAGAATGCAGTCAATTGTTGACTTCGAAGGGTTACAAACTAAACCAAAGAAGCGATTTGAATTGATGTGTGCAATAACGATAAATAATAACAAATATATTTCACACCGTGTTAATCTATTTATAATTATTTATTTATAACAAATAAATAATTATATGTATGTGTAACCATTTTTCATGTCTTAAAAAAGTTGAATGTACCGTTTCGCAGGCGTAAAGCATCTTGGGGGACTTATTAATGTAAAAAAGAATTTACATACCTGATACAGTATACACTTTTTTTTTTTAATACAATAAAATGGAGAATTTGAGTATAATCAATGAAAAAAAAAATCTTATTTATGTTTAATTGGGCACACACTTGTACATTCTTTCTCCTTGTTTAATACTAGAATGTTTTATCATATAAAGGTAACTATTTGAAATACTCATAGTCGATAGGTTCATTGGCAAATTCTAAAATTATACTAATTCTTATGCTCCCCATAAATTCAAGATACAAAAGGACTAATTGAAAATATAAGGTTTTAATCAATCTCTCTAAGTATATATAGGATCTTCTGTTAGTCAATTGCAATTATCCTGTTTTGACTAAAAAAAATATATTATTAACCTTAACCGAATGACCTGCAAATTGTGTTAATTTTTTTTTTTTGGAATTTCTATTAAATGAATAGTATACCATAAACACATATCGTGTGAAAATTGATCCACATATTGTTTGAACCTTGTAGCATATCTTTTTCTTTGATTTGTTACATTAATTGTAAATGTGTAGCTTGAGTAAAAAAAAAGTTACCCTTTTAAAGAAAACTGAGAAAATTGACCCTGAATTGTTTAGAAAACAAAGGTACATCATCAATAGCAAAGTTACCATGTTTCGTAGTTCATAAAAGGAAAAAAAATCTTTTATTTCGTATTTCAATCAAACAATCGAATTTCTCAAATCGTATTGGTTTCTCAGAATATATGCATAATCTAATTGCATTCATTAAAAAGTTTTCTAATTGGAAAAAAAAAAGCCTTCATTCAAATACTTCACTCATTGATTTACCTTGATGATCAATGATTTTCTCAATTCTAAAAAGTGAATTTCAAGACAACTTTATGTTATTGGTTCTGAAGAGTTCCGCTGGAATAAAGTATGTTTATAAATTATCCAAATAAGCCAAGAAAAATGCGTTTATGTTACGTTTTAGTAAAGAAATGTGCTGTAATATTAATTTTTGTTTGTAAAACCAATTAATAA